CTATTCCATAGCTTCATGTCTGTGTATTCCCTAAGCATGGTAGCCTTACAGTTGATCACGCATGCGTATTTCCCGTTACGCTGTGAGTCACATCTGCCGGCCTTGACCTTATCCATCGTGATAAGTACAGTAAGAGGCACCAACGGGGTTTTCCTATCCCAACAGGACGAACACTTTCCGCACGATTTTAGTAATTCAAAAGTGTTTCAAAGATAAATCGAGAAAGGAGAAAAAGGGAAAAATTATCTGTGACAAAATTTGCTAGTTTATAGTTTAAACTAATTTCAGTTTAAGAAAGTTCGTGGAGCATTTAGGTGTGTCCATACTGTTTCATGTGTTGCTACACGTATCAAGTGCTTGGGTTTTTCATGCTTTTGGGAAGACCCAACCAAACCGATAGCATTTTCCGTCTCTTTTCTTCCGTGTATATCATATATATAACAATGTAGACACAAATCCATATATAAGAGCACATTGATAGGTCACGTTCCATGTTCTTGTGTCTTTCTATGAAATCGCATCATTATTTCTTTCCAATTAGTTTAATTTGGTGTCCGAATTTTCATGGCTTGCGAGCTAGCCTGTGTTGTGTGATAACATGATTCGGTTGGGGCGGTTAAATGTAAAATATAGCGTAATATATATTTAAAATGTATTTTGTAAAAACGTATTTATTTAGCCAAGAAATTTGAGTAAATCTCTCTCTCTTTCTTAATTAAAAATAATATGTATATAATTATTTTGAGCCATCTTGAAATGTGTGTATGTTATTGTATTTCATCTAAAGGAAAGAGCGTAAATAAAGTTTTTGTAACTTGTGCCCAATCCTTTTGTTTAAACTTAACATTGATACATGACATTGCACAACAGAACCATACTTGTGATTAGAGAGATCCCTGTGACGTTCATCATATATAACTTTTCACCGCGACAGTTCGGGTTACATGTGTTGATAACACGGACATATTTTTGGAAATTTAATCAAACCAAGGTAACACAAAGGTAAAACCGCCGCTATTTTTAAATGTTTATCTTTATCACATGATCAAGTCAGGGAGATGTTTTTGACCTATCTATTGTCTGTGTAGTCAACAACATGGGGGTATTTGGTATGTGTCATTTGGAGAAGATGTTTGACCCAAATTAAACCTTTTAAATTCTAGTTGTTGACATCGGGGTTAGTCGGAGTATAGATTTGCCTCAATGACGCCCGACCTCATACTCAACCTTCTGTGGAGCAAAAAAACATATTCCCCGCTAGCTCGAGTATCATTGTTCCCTAAATTGCACTCCGAACATATTGAGTTACCGATTTCCACGAGAACAACAACCATATTACTATATAAAATTGCCACACTGAATAAATGTTCAATAATAATATATATATTTTTATAACTACAAATTCAAATTATGTCACTTAGACTCCACTCCGTCTGTCCGTATCCGTCAATATTCAGATTTGTTGTCGACAATAAAAAACATAATTTGGTGTTTATTTCACAACATCGGGAGTCATATGACTAGACGAGGAAACAAGACAAGAGAGACAGAGAATTCGTCATGTCGGTCACTGTGTGTGCGGTTTGTGGTTTTAAGGTACTGGTCCATTGACCGAATTCTTACCAATGCTATGTTGCCTGCTTACCCGCCGCGCATGAGCACGTGTTTCACATCAAAAATATAAACGGCATTTACTTGTTATTTCGGGCGAAGGACCTTGACCGAAAATCACAGTCCTAACATTATGACAAATTTAGAACGAAAATTATCAAAATTGTCGTAGAGGAAGAAAAAGATCCGGTTTAAGTTGGATTTTAGCTCAAAGTCCAATCTATATACACCTAAAGAATGTTTCCTTCAAAAGTATTAAACTGGATGAATTGCACTAACACGGTTTGTATTCATTCATTTAATACATTTAGCAGTTAGATGACTATGCGCCGTGTCACGTGATCTTCAATAACTGACCGATTTTGTACTTGACCATCCTGCTTTTACACATGACAGCTGAGTATTTAATATCGCGTATTGATCGACATTAGATACGCTGTAGTTTTAAAAAATACACTCAATGTTACATAACATGAAAACTTTAATCAATCAATATTTAGAAGATATCTTTAAAAGTTATCGTTCGCGAATCATGATAAATTAAAATGACAAAGAAATTGGAAACTAATCGGGCGCTTTCCGGACCAGCAAAGACGCAAAATAACGACTTGTTTAGACTAAAGGTAAATTTTCATTGAATTCCGAATCCGCCCTCTGACCTTGTATGAACATGGCTCATTGCCATTCTGTTAAAACGGATTTTCCGCTAGAAATTCCAAGTGCATCCAAGAGGAGAGTAGGAAAACATGACGGTTAATCATAAAGGTTACAGATGTATCCTAATGGCGACTTTTTAGACATCTGATCTCAAAAATTGTACGCATCGACCGTAATCTGACCAGAGTGTCAATTAATCATCATTTATCGACAGTATTAGCACATTCCGAGGAATTCTGACGTCACACTCAACTTCATGGTGTTGTCACAGCACAAATAGAAACATACCCGCCTTTCGTCACGTATCTAGACATCCGATCCAAAGAACATGCCAATTTGTTACACTCCCGTTTTTCTAGTATATATACTATTTTTTTATATTTACATATTTATATTATAAATTTGAAAACAAGTTGTGGTTGAAATAAAGAAAAAGTACATGGTGTTTGAGCCTAAACTATACGGTAACCGGATTGTTTTGTTTTAGCAATCCAATCACATAAGTAATTAGTTAAGAGATATGTGTACGTGTTGGTTTCCACGTCAAACAGAACAGATTGTTATCTCAATCAGCACATTATATGTCAACAATAAATAATGAATGGCTTTAGTTTATTGGAAAAGAAAAAAAGGTCATGATGGGATGGTACATACCATCATCCTAAAGCGAGGCTGTCATGTCCGCCTTCAGTAAGGCTTAAGACATCGTTTCGGTTCTGAACCTTCAAATCAATACATCGTGCAGAGAAACAAAAATTTCCCCGCCTTTCATTGATTCGTAAGTATTTTTAGTTATTAATTATTTTTTTCCGCCCCGGGGTATGGTATGCTGCAATGTACAAGCACTAGTGATGTCACATTGAACACGCCTCTTCAAATTAATCCATGACGTCACTTTTTCATCGAAAATGGGGGTATCTTGGAATACTATCAACAGCATTTTAGTCGGAAATATTGAATTCGAATAAGGCGTTAACTTTACACCATAAAAACGGACAATTCAGGTTATTATCATTTCTATGAATGATTTCAAGTGTTAATAGACTCGGACTTGTGCGGGACGTGCAGACAAGAGTGATATTCCTGAAGAGATCTAAAAGATACGAATGGAGATCGGCTTTAAACTTACTGAGCCCGTACCGTTATAACACTGGAAATTTAACATTTTTGAACAAACTGTAAACAGAAACTGTAATGATAAGAATATTTAAAGATGCCGTCACATGGATTTGTCCGAAATTAGCGAAGCAGAAAAAGCAGACTGATGTGTTTCAACTTGCAGGTTTACCTCAGCTCAGGCACAAAGAGTCGCAAAACCAGAGAAACAAATACACAATACAATGGAGCTATACTGGAATAATGAACTATCGGAGATTATTTACTGATAAATAGATACTGCAAATCAAAAATAGCAAGATTTATAAAATCTACAGTTAAACTCTGTTCTTGCAATTTTGATATGATCATTAGGGCGGAAAGGTAACAAAGGCGAATTCTAGAAAACTATCAATCTCAACTGCAAAAAAAGAGAGAGAAAAAAAAACAAGAAAATATCGTAGATCTAAATTTCGGTAAATTCATGATAAAAAGCAATGTATCCCTCGTAAGGGCCTCTTGCTTTTAGCTGCGGATGCTAATAATAGATTTCTCATTATATCACCCCACAAAAAGTTTTGTTGCAGTGAAGATGGGTAATATATACCGAATATGCATTGTCAGGTGATAATTATTTCGATTTCCGGACATGCAACAAAAAAAAATATATATATATATGGTTACTATGAAAATACTGCAAAGGAATCAAAGACTATCTAGGTCCAGTCAGCATAGCGGTTTCCTGTATTCTCTAGGCAGTAACTTCTAAGTATTTCTGGAGGGTTACATTGAATAAACAAGACACCGATATCAATCGCATATTGATATCCGAGCAATTAAAATAATGTTCTTTCAGCAGAAGAATTTATTTTTTTCTACTTAATACAATGCTCTTCAAGTATTTCAGTATCAATATGAGTCCATCAATTCATTTACTGCTTTAAATGCTCAAATGAGAATTTTCAGTAGCTGGAATGTCCGATTTCTATCGTTTCTCTAAACGGTTATCATGACGCTTACATTCTAATAAAACGAGTTGTTGTTCCATTCATTTCAGTCGGTATCAATATCTTTCTTTTTTTTAATTTTTCTAGAATATCTTAACTGATATCGAAAAGTATTGAATATGAATATTTATTCGATGGCTTTGGGTTACGTTTACACAAGGGATCGGAAGTTTTTCATATATTTACGTAGAGTAAAATAATTAATTAATTACTGTTTATATCATTTTACATATCAAATCATGAAATGTTATTACAAAGAGGAATGCTGCCTTGCAAAATATCAGCCAAAAATTGCTAAATGAAAGTCGAGTCTTACAATGATGTCATCGTTTCTCAATAAATTTATTAAAATTCATGTAAATTAATGTCACTGGTTAAACACAATTAATACAAACGCTGTAAAAATATCTCGGCGTATTTTTTTCTAATTTACCTGAGGATGCTTTTGAATTCAACTCTTGATTTCGTTAAAATCCAACATAACTGCAATTGGGAATAACTTGGTTGACAAACAACCTACATGTAGCCCCCGAGTATCGACCCCATTTTCCAAGTCAGCTGCAAAACCTGAACAAAGAGATCGGACTGAAATGGATCGAAATTGAGAAAAATGGATTTAGACATACATACCCCTTAGTTTGAATATGTTCCTTCAGTACTTATAATCCCTTATACGTTCTAGAAACACAATAATATCCCTTCATTCTTCGTCACCGGATGAATTTCTCTCCTGCCTGTTCTCACACTCACGGACTGCGAACAGCTGATCGCTAGCGATGACCTCGACCTTTGTGGGAGTGAACCGAATTCCGACAATTTGATTGGCTATACCACCGGTGACGTCGCACTATACTACATATATTACCCTAGAAATGCCGGTGACCTACCTGAACGCTAACAAAGAAAAGAAATCCTGCAAAAATAAGACTTTTTACGAATGCATAAAATGATTTTGGACGTTTATAAATCATTATTGTTTGCATGCATCACAAAGATTTATTGCTTACGACTTGACGAAGTTGCTTTGCTGGAGAGAGCTGGTCGGCTTCAATGCCGGTTATGAAATGCGAACTGACCCATTTCTCCAAGCGGTAATGGTTCACTAACCAAGCGAAGCGTAATTATGTTCCGAAGCGCTACTGTAAACACTTAGTATCCACAGACAGTCCGTTTTATTTCGGTATGTTGTAATTTTACATCATTTCATCCGCTTATGTTACAACGACTCTAAGTGTATTGCTGAAAACCCTGACCCTGATCTGCAATATCTAACAACGTGCATGCTACGTAAAATATATCTGTATGATTGAAAACAAATCTGATGATATATCACATTCATAAAAAAATATGTATCTGTGAAAGCTAAACAACGAATGCATACATAATACTGTACAAGGGTATATCATTGACATAGTAAATATATCTAGATAGCTAGACTTCGATTTAAATATATCTGGTCCAAAATGAACGGCATGTGTTTCGGACCGTCGTATCAGTATCAAGTGACGTTTTTGTTATATTATCGTTTACTGGACATAAGGACGACACGCAATTAACCATGATTGGATCGTTACAGCAAAATTTCGTTCGATGTTACCCGAATAATTCAGCATTAAGCTTTCTTTGTTTCTTGGTTATTTCTTGCAGAAATCACGTCTCTTCATTAAATCATAACTATGTATTTCATATTCTGATATGTAATCACGTGACTGTTGTTATTGTTTTGTGTATTTGTATACCTGTTTTTAGGGAGAGGTCGCCTTTAAGTCGGTAAAACTTACTGACCAATCATTTTGACATCTAATATGACAATGAAATGTGCTTACATTAAAAACAAAGTAAATAGGACGAAATTAATTAGCAAATCGGACCCCGAAAATTTACTTCACGGATAACGAGAGCATAATAATAAAAAAATAAAATGTCGGTGACCTGAATTACCTAACACGAGAACGTGTCGGAATCACGTGGACGCCAAGATATTGACTCTGCACGCTAACCCTTTGTACAAATTGTTACATTTGGGTAGGTCTACAAACATACAGGCAAAAAAGTCCCCGATCAACCAACAACAACAAGCCGACGATGTGTTTAGAACATGGCAAGCGAACCTATATTAAACCAGGATGTTACGGGTTTTGTTTAACAAGGCAAACCCGTCATGCTTAAAGTACATGTGTATGTACGATTCATACCGTAATCCTACACGATGGAATATTTTGGGGATAAAATACAGGACACTGTCCAAGAAACGGCGCATAGATACACAAGACAACGGAAATATACATTTTCTCACAGTCATACAAGTGCTTTGCACATGCAGCTTACTCGCACATTCCAATAATTACTCTTTCTTTACGTACAGGGATGGTATAAGTTCCCATAAAGGGAATTTCGTAAAATTACCAAGTTACAAACTTTCGATTTTTTTCCACAGTGAAAACAGCGAAAAGTTTTTTCTATAACAATCAGACAATACTTGGAGGGTAGATATTGAGATCGAACAAGGAAAAATACTTATAGAAACAAATGGAGCCAAATTTTGAGGGGAAATTACCTATTACTGGTATTAAAAACGGTCTCGACATATAATGCAAAATACTCATAGGTAGATTTATATCAAATGGTTACAATTAGATATCAGTAATATTTAGATTGCTTCAATGGACCAGTTTGTTGTGATCAGTTCAACACTATTAACTAGTTAGACTTATATGGAAAAACTGCGACGATGCTCTTTCGTGACGTCACCATACTTCTATCATCTGGTGTCTTTTTAATGAATATCTATCCGTCCCGTGTCCAGAAAGAATGTTTGTTTTTTGGTAGAGTCTGTTGGAAACCGGATATTGATTGAAGCTTTCCCATTCTTCATTGGTACCAGAATGTGACAACGCGAAACCGATCGTGGTTTTGGACTTTAAGTCTAAGATGTGCTACGGCTGTTAGGGGTCAAAGGGCTACCGAGCATCTCGGCCGCTGGGGACCGGTACATTTAGGAATTTCAAGCACGTACGTCGTGAGTATTGCTCATGGACGTCGGGTATATCAGCATGCTCGTTAACATTGTTCTGAATCTGATCAATTTTGCCATGCAGTACCTTCAGTTTATTTTTCTGAATGTTGATTTATCGTTCCATGGAAGACACTTTGTCATCGACAACTGAGCTAACTTTTGTGTTTACACATTATCCAATTAAGTGTTTCACTGTTGATTATGTCTGCCATCACTTGGTCGAGTTTCGGCTGAACGTCGGCAGTCAAAGTTTGTGCAATACTGGTGATTATTAATCACTGACTAGTTCAATCAATACATGTATCAGATTGTTGAAAAACTCCGGATCGCATGATTTCATAATAACATTGGAAAACTTTGGGAGGTTAAGTTTCGGTTGGGTTAATAGGTAAAAAAAACCCATCCGATTCGCTTTCCAACAAAGTTTGTCTTTTGAGATCTAACGTCACAGGTGACGAGTATTGACGAGCTTGGTCAAGTGTTATAAGATTCTTGCTTACCAGTTGGTCTCTGGTGGAGCGTGCACCTGTACATTTACCTGTCTCTCGCTCTCAGTGGAAGCCATTGTTCTCAGGTGTAGAATACAAAACCTTAGATAAGTCACTTATTGGAACAAATGATGACAAAATTGCTGCAAGCTTCATAACTTCAGATGCTGAGAATAAACATTATCTAAAAATCTAACTGAAAAGTTCTGAATAAGAAGAAAAAAATTACCTCCGACCTGAACACCTGTATTCACTACAGCATCTCGTGACTTTCTCTCTTTGTTTCTTGGTTATTTATTTATGGCAGAAATCACGCCCCTTCATTAGAATTAGAGCTATGTATTTCGTAATCACGTGACTGTTGTTATTGTGTTGTTTAATTGTATACCTGTATTTAGGGGGAAGTCGCCTATAAGTCGGTTAAACTTCCTGACCAATCATTTTGACACCTAATTTGACAAGAAAATGTGCTTAAAATGAAAAAAAAAGTAAATAGGACGAAATTAATTGGCAAGTCGCACCCGGAAATTTACTTCACGGATAACGAGGGGGAAAATTTGCTACAAATGTAAAATTAGTTTTTTATCAATTATTCAACTCGCTTCACTAGTCTCATATGGAATGAAAGGTCAAAGTTTATCTTCGTTAATATGATAACGAAATTTCGCCTAATATGTAAGGATAACGAAATGCCGATAATATCTTTGCGTGTCATAAAAAAAACCCTCGGCGAAACTCACTGTGCTTACAATCTCCGAAACAGAGTTTTGCAGGGCGGGATCTCTGTAGTAGCCGTTGCTACCTCATTAAACAACAGTGCCATGCGGCAAGATCGCCGGACACTGACTTCACAATGATACAAGATGAACCCATTGTGTCCCTGAGACACGAATGTCGAAGTCGACATTCAGTAGATTGTAGAAAGGTCTCTAGTGTTACTAGCATCTTTAGAGGTGTACTTAAAATTATAGTCAGGCGTAGGATGATCAGAGCTGGGAATCAATGTTAACTGATAGCTGTCTCTACGCAAAAATACAGTTACTGATCAAATTTTAGTACAAATTCCCACTCGGCATCGAGAAATTTAACAGCAATTGAGAGATTCTTGAAATTTTCCTTTCCAAGGGCTATAACTCTGAAAATGATAAGTTGACCGTAACAAATAAAATATTACATGATTCTTTTCATACTAACAATACTATTACTTATCAAACCACTATCCTATTGTCGGTGTCCTAATATCCATTCTAATTTTGTTGTTATGACACACGTGTTGCACGTTTCCATTGTGACGTCATAACTTCAAGACGTCATGTATATTGTTACGTTTCTAAAGAAAGAGATATAGACCGAGAATATGACCAATAAAATAGGTTTTGGTTAAGTCTCATCAAATGCTATTTTCTCCTTTTTTTCACTTAAAACTCCCCAGTCATATGATAAATATAATCTTTATTCTTCGTCAGGGGCTCGACGAAGTTTTGTTGCAAACGGGTGTAAGATGCTGTATATGTCAAATTTCAGTTCAATATCACCATCCAGCTGTGAGCAAATGGAGAGAAAAAATCAAAACAAAACAAAAGCAAAACAACTGACAGTTATTATTATTTCAGGTTTTATATTTTATTTCAAGGGCCATAACTCATAACTTATTTCCATCCGTCAGCGAAAATGGGAGGAAACCAAATTATGATGGAGGAACCTGAATAATGGCCAAGGACAAATCTATAGCACTCATATGGCGGGGAACAAAACACACACTCGATGTTTACGGCGTATCATAAACAATCAAATACTTGAGAATGTGCATTACAAAATGCACTTCAATTAGTTCTACAAGACGTTAATTGCGCAAAGGCGGCCATCTTGTTCTCTGAATTCGTCAGGAGGATACCAAGAGCTGAGTGGAGGTCAATGAGTCCACGAAGGATTTGCCTTCCATCCTAATTACCCGAAATAAATATCCACAATGTCAGCCGTTCTTGACCGTTTGTTACATATGGTGGCTGATTCGGGACATCGTAATATCGCTTCGTTTAATGGGAAGCGAGATTGCGATATTACGATAGAACGATGCGATACTACGATAGCACGATGCGATATCGTGATATCGCATCGCGCTATCGTAATATAGCATCGTGCTTTCGTGATATCGCATCGTGGTATCGTGATATCGCAATATCGCTTCCCATTAAACGAAGCGATATTACGATGTCCCGAATCAGCCACCATAGTTACAAC